TTTAATGCTGCGGAGAACTGGTTCAAACACCTTTTCAAGGCCGTTCAATTTGATCACTAATAGTGGAATCGAGAGGCCGATCCGAGTCGATACTGTTTTCTGTTTAAGTGGGAGCACTATATCCGGTTTTAACATTAGAACGTTCAGTACTCTCTCAAGTAGAGCTTTGGCTGTCGTAAGGGTATCGATGACGATATCGATTTCCATTCTTTCTACGCTTGCAAAGCAGGACTGCTACGCAAACTTTATCTTGAATGATTGGTATTTCTAGTTTGACCCGACCTGAATAAATGAAATTATTCGTAGTTTGCATTTTTTATATTTACAGCCATTAATTTCTTATATCACAAACGATAAATATTATTAAAATATACATATGCATGTCAATACAATTTGAATATAAGTTCTAAAACTACAAAATTGTATAAAACCGATGTTTTTACATTTAAAATTCAACAATTTTTTTAAAATAAAGTGACGCATATTTTATCGAAATTTAAGAAAAAAATATTTACTAAAAATTAAAGAAATCGATAATTTAAAAACTAGATGAACTGGATAAACTAGTCAAAAAGTTTTAAATATGTTTGTGAGAAATTTGAATATACCAGTTAAACTCGGTCTTGGGTGGCAGGGACTATTTTCAAAAAGATTTAAAAAAATGTATCAACAAACTTCCTTCGACAAAATTTACTTACTAGGTACCGGCGGCCGCCGAGTAATTAGGATTGCGTTCTGACGTTCGCGGGCAAGCGTCAACTAGATATTTATTTATATATATACATATATATTTTAATTTCAAACCAATTTATAGAAGTGTATATTGGAAAATTTGTGCAATAAAGCAATCAGCTGAGTGTGCCTCAAGATGTGGTAACTTTTCATTTACTTGGGGCTCTCATAACACGGGTTGTATCAGATGAGTCGCTAAGTTTTTAGCTGGTTCGACTGTTAATATTTGCTTTAATCCAGACTGCTTCTGTTTACTTAGTATTTGGTATTCTGCTATATAAAAAAGAAAACAAATTTCATCTTTCGTCCTCATTTTGTATATATATAGATATATATATAACATAATAATATAGCTATTATATCTTTGGCAACACTGGTTTAAACAACTTACGCAAACATCTTCAGCTTGCAACGCTTGCAAATTATTGGATTTTATTATCAAAATGCGTGCTCTGTTACAAAAGCTCATCGCCCGATTGGGTTCAGCTACGAAGCACATTTTTTGTTTAATGGGTCCAAGAGCTACCAATGCATCCAGAAAAAGTCACAGTTTGGTGCGGTTTACGGGCTGGTGGCATCATTGGGCAGTACTTCATCAAAGATCGTGCGAATCGTGACGTAACTGTGATGATATCAAACTTCGCTTTGCCCAAAATGCAAGAGCTGCATGACATGTGGTTTCGACAAGACGGTGCCATATGCCACAAAGCACGCGTGATAATAGACTTATTCAGAGGAGAGTTCGGTGAACATTTTATTTCACGTTCCGGAAATGGTCCATTGGCCGCCTAGATCATGCGATTTAACGCCTTTAGACAATTTATTGTGGGGCTATGTTAGAAGTTCACGCAAGTGAGGAAAGTTTTTGACTACCAATCACCTGGGAGTGGTCATCATTGATGCTTTTGCATATGGTTCAAGCAGCTCACGACTTCTGCTCTTAGGCCAAGTATTCCCTGGATACCTAACAAACATCCGTTTGGAGGCGAGCTAAAGTGAGAAGGCGAAACACATGCGGCTGTGAGTAGGGCTTCCTCGGCGGAGAGACCCTCTTTTTATGACGACCTCCACAAATGTTATAGGGATAACGATTTGAGGGCATGCTCCTGGAATGTCCGGTTCGTTAATTGAGAAGGTGCCGCTGCCCAGCTGGTTGATGTCCTCGTAAGAATTAAGGTTAACATCACCGCCGTCCAAGAAATGCGAGGGAGGGGACAAGGACGGAAGAAGGTGTTCCTTGTGAAATTTATTACAGCGGCGAGAGAGAGACTCCGTCACCGAGTACTGGCATTCACTCCGGCAGATGAACCTATCGCCATAATCCGCATCGAAGCGATATTCTTTAACATATCGTTGATTTGTGTCCACGCCCCGACGGAAGAGAAGGATGATGCTACCAATAATGGCTCTTATGAACGCCTTGAACATAGATAGATTCCAGCACAAGAAAATTCACCACACTACTTGGCTGCCCTCTGATCGAGAAACACAAAACCAGATCGAGCCCGTCAACAAACAGAAGCAAAGCTCGACGTCGAAAAACTGCAATCACAACAGACTGCCGTGCGATTTTCTACTCGACTTAAACACCTGCTTTCTTAGAGCATTTGGTATATGGGACCTGTGAAACGGCATCTCAAACTCCACTACGGAAACAATGGGTTTTCGGCAGTGCCAGAAAAAGAGTTGGTGTGATGAAGAATGTCGAGCTGCAGTGGAAAGAAAACAAACAGCCAATCTAGCAACCTTGCCATCGACAACAACACGTACGGGGTGGGATAGATATCAAGAGCGGAAGAGGCAAGCAAGACGCATCTGAATACAAAAAAAGAAAGAGGCCAAGATGCGTGAGTATGAAAAGCTTGAGAAGCTGGTCGACAAGGGTAATGCTCGAAAATTTTACGAAAAGATACGGCGACTTATTGAAGGTTTCAAGACCCGAGGAAACTCTTCTAGAACCTATAGGAATGATCTAGTGGCGGACGCCCAGAGTATACTAAATTTATTGAGGGAACACTTCTCCAGCCTGCTTAACGGCAGTGAAAAGGAAACGTCCGGAGATGGTGAGCCCGAAATTAAAATCGATGACGGTGGAACAAACGTTCCGCTACCTGACCGTTTCGAAGTTCGAACAGCGATTGTCCGCTTAAAAACAAAAAAACGGTTGCGGCTGACGACCTACAGGCAGAACTATTTAAACATGGCTGTGAAGAGCTGACAAGGTGCATGCATCAGCTTATTTGCAAAATATGGTCCGATGAAAGCCTGCCCGATAATTGGAACCTAAGTGTACTCTGCCCAATCTACAAAATGGACAATCCCACAGTCTATGCCAACTACCGTGATATAAGCATCTTTAATATTTATTATAAAATCCCGTCGAGCGTGCTGTGTGAAAGACTGAAACCCACCATCAACAAAGTGATTGAACCTTATCTGTGTGGTTTCAGACGTGGTAAGTCAACCATTGACCAGATATTCACCAGCGAGGCGAATGGGTCTACTAGTGAACGAACTGTTGTCTTGGTTCTCTTGTCATCAAACAAACAGTTATCGCATTCGCGACTGGGCTCTCACATAGCTGTTGACAGTTATAACTTCGAACTCGTAGATAATTTCGTATAACTATGGACCAACATTAACACCAATAATATCGTCCGTTTCGAAATCCACGCTGAATCATTCTTCCCAACAGGTGCTACTTTAGACTGAGTAGGCAATTGAAAAATACAGTCCTCTCCCGACGAACGAAAACAAAATTTTACAAGTCGCCTATCATACCCATCCAACTATATGGCGCAGAGGTTTGGACGATGTCAACAGCTGATGAGACGGTTGTGAGAGTCTTCGAGAGAAAAGTTTTGCAAACGATTTGTGGTCCTTTGCGCATTGACAACGGCGAATACCGCAGACGATGGAACGATGAGCTGTACGAATGAAACGGTGACATTGACATAGTTCAGCGAATGAAGAGACAGCGGATACGAGGGCTAGGTCATGTCGTTCGAATGGATGAAAGCACTCCAGCTTTGAAAGTATTCGATGTAGTATCCGCCGGTGAAAGCAGAGGAAGAGGAAGACCTTCACTCCGTTGGAAGGATCAGGGAGAGAGTGACTTGAACTCACTTGGTATTTCCAACTGGCGCCAAACCAGCGAAAAGGGGATGAATGGCGCGCTTTAATTATTTCGTCTATAATCGCGTATGCGGCACCACCGCCAATAAAGAAGAAGAAGATGTTAAATCTAATGTTTATACAAACGCATTGGCGGACAACATTGAAGCATTAATTCGTGAGATAGCGGCCGAAATGTTGGAAAAATATGCCACAATTTACTTGCATAAACAAATCATATTTGACCGTGACTGAAAGGTATTCTCATTCTAATATAACGAAATTCCAAAGAACCGCAAAGTACATTGCTGAAAATTTTGGGACTAAGAGCAAATCCACCAACCTACACAATGTGCGACTGAATATCAGGCATTTGAAATTTATTGCATTGCAACAAAGACTTATAATTCCAGCGGTCGTTAAATTGCGCAGAACTCACCACTAACCATTCAGACTTTAAACCAAACGGTAGTTAAGAGCAGTGTAACATGATGTGCTGCAAAAATATGCAAAAAAGATAGCTCTGTGGAACTCACAACCCCGTGAAACCATATTACAGAGTTTGACAACTCCTTTGATCTCAGCACCACATTAACTTTTGACCTCATTGAAAGAAACGCAGCACCTATCTGCCGGAAAAGCGTAAAATTGAAGCATATCACGCACTCGATGAAACGCTCGATTTTGTTTGATTTCGTTTTCATGAACACTGTGCGTGTCTGCGTGCATGTTCCTATTCGCCAACGTCAATGTCAAAAATACATCAGAGGCGACCTGTAATATCCATGCTACATCACTTCTCCCCTGAATGTATTTCTACATAAAAACGGAGATCTTCGTGTCGATGACAGACCAGCACATGCTGCGCTTAGCTATAGTAGCAATAGTACTCCACCAATTCATCATCCCAAATATGTCAATAGAAGCATGTTTTATATTTCAAATTCAAGAATACTTCATCTTGATATTTTTAACGAAGTTTTCTACAATTTTGGATGTTGGTCGAACTATTTAGGACACAAACCCTGGCCTTCAGAATGAAAGTACGCAATCCCTTCACCTCGGCCATTGCAGCCGATTTATTATGTTTTTCAATATTTTTAAAATTACAATTGTTTTCTGCTAAAATATTTAATGAAAATTAATATCTACAGGCTTAACATCTACCGTGGAATACACACCAATGACGGAGTTAGATTATGGTACTTTACTTTGCACTGCCGTAAATGCTGTAGGCTACCAGAAAACACCTTGCATATTTCACATCATTGCAGCAGGTAAGTCCACCATATCTCAGAGAAATTTTATAAACTTCATGAATGAGATTTTATTGCTATTTTAAAAGGATTCAATGCATTTTTTATAATATCCTGATTGCGGGTAGTAGCCCAATGTATAGTAAATAGTATTCTGCCTCCATATGTTAAATTATACTTTTTTTCTTCTTCTTCAGTGGCGTACACACTGCTTACGCAATCACAGCCGACTTAACCATTCATTTCACTGTTTCTTGATTCGCTGAACTATGTCATTATCCTTGTATATCTCGTACTGCTCATCGTTCAATCGGCTGCGGTATTTGCCGTTCCCAACAGTAGGGCCGATGAGCGACTTGTAGAATATGGTCTGTCTTTGTCGAGAAAGAACTTTATTTTTCAATTGCCTTTTTAGTCCCAAGAAGAAGAATTTCAAAGCTGGAGTTGTTGCTGATATTAATACGGGTTCCAAGATAGACGAAATTATCAACTACTTCTTAGTCTCTCTGTCAAGAGTTACGCGGCAGCCGGGCCGTCAATGCGATGATTGCAATGGTTTGCGTCGACTGATTTTTGTCCAGGAATTGAAATCCTTCTTTCGCTTTTTTCCCGTTTTATTTTTTGAAATTGTCAAATTTTAAATCGTCACCAAAGAATTGTTTGCTGAGTCGGGGTACGAGGGAAAAGAAGTTGGCATAATTTTGTGTATATATGGGTCTTTAATATCCCTGTAAAAATTTGTGGAGCTTATGGTCCCTTGGGTTAATCCAAAAACTTACTCTTGTCACATACAACAACCGATGATCGCTCGTGTTTTAACGATCACAATTAATGAACGACGTTGCATGTGCACAGTAAAATTTTTATTCGTGTACAGAAAATGTCTGAATAAGAAATTGATTCAGTTTCGTTTTGTTGGTGAATAAAAGTACAATACATATATGCGCAAATTGAAATAAGTTCTACATTTGTTTATCATCAATAAAATATTAATTTAAGTTTATTACCAAAGTGAATTGTAGACGAAACTAAAAATTATGTCATTTTTCGAATATAACCTATAATATAATCCACTGTAAGTACTCCGTAGACCATTTTTTGGGTTAGTTTCAAAACTAGTTTCGTGTATGTAATCCATGGACTACACGGGTGTCATGCAGAGAGAGATTATATGGTCCAGCCCTAGGACGTCGCAATGCAAATAGGACCATATTTTTTGTATGGATTTTGGATTACTTCTTTGTCCGCTGGGAGTGTATATTTCAGGTCGCTGTCGCTGTGTCTGCAGGGATTCATGCAGAGATCTTTGAATGTGTTTGTACTTGACTTCAGCTCAGCTAGAATTCTGATATTTGCAAATTTTGTCATCGTCGCGAAGAAATCGTTTTGTTGATGGCGGGTGCGTTTTCATATACATATTAAAATGTTTGAATGCAAGCGTTTTCACTTTGACATGAGTTGATAAATTAGATATTGATTTTTCGCAAAATATGCCAAGGAAACTGCTTATTGGTGAAGGGAATAAGGGAAAAGGGATAGTACAAGACTTTGTGTGTAGAAAGCTTTAAATGTACATATGTATGTGTTTGCGACTTCTTAACTACAATTTCTGATTTTCAACTTTGCTTGAGGAAGTTTTATGTTGATATAGAGTGAAAGGTAAAAGGGTTTGTTAGCGATAGCTGTTTTTGCTGCATTTATGCTTCTTCTTCCTATAGTATATAGTTTGGAAGCATCAAATCATTTCAAAATCTAGTAAAATTTGTCAAAACTGCACTTCAATAACATAAAGTAAACTAATGAACATATCCTTTGAAGTAATGTACTCATTGTGCGCATACACGCGCACGCACTGTGCAAATGATCGAAGGCGATTGTGGATGTGGAGAGCATATTCTTTCGAATACTTAACTGAATAAGAAGAAGAGAAACTAATGATCTATTTATTTGATTCGGTAGAAGGGACCATCCGTGCTTACGCGCCAAATAAGCCACTTCGCTCAAAGGATGATGAACGTGCTCTACAATTAATGGAAAAATATAAAAAGTGTCTGCCATCCGAAAAAATGGGAAAGCAAACTATTGTGGAAACAAGATGTAGTCAATTTGCCCAATTCATTCTCCATGGTGCGCCGCCGACTAGAGTGTCTAGAAGCCAAGATGAGGCGCGATCCTTCTCTTCACCAGTTTATTGTCGACAAAATTGACGACTACAAGAAAAAGGGCTACATGCGCAAATTGAAGCCGAACGAAATATCAAACAGCAGTAGGTCGAGGTATCTTGCTATATTCACGGTGCTTAACGCCAATAAAAACAAAAGGAGATTGGTATGGGATGCTGCAGAAAAGGTTGGAGATATTGCTTTGAACAGCATGTTGCTGAAAGGACCTGACCAGCTGAAGTCACTGATGGGCATATTGCTTCGCTTTCGGGAAAACCCTGTGGCTGGTTGTGGTGACATACGTGAGATGTTTCACCAGGTGAAAGTGGCGGAGGAAGACCAGGTAGCGCAAATGTTCTTATGGTGCGATGGTGAATTCAGTCGAAAGCCAGACGTCTACGCCATGTGTGTAATCACGAGGCTCTCCTTCTTGGGAAATTATGTATTAATTATGTATTGTAAACTAACCCAGAGGCTGTCGGAGCCAACTTAACAACATCTTCGTCGATGACTGGCTCCAGAGTGCAGACACTGAAGAGGACTTATCTCGTATGGCTAATGCGGTTCACTGGAATCACAACGAAGGCGGATTCTGAATGCGAAATTGGGTATCGAACTCGAAACAAGTCCTGACCGAACTTTCTGCCGAAAAGAAGCAGCTGACAAGATATTTTGAGGAGCCGGCCGCTCCTATTGAAAATGTATTAGGAATGTGGTGGTTTCCAATGTCAGACGAACTGACGTTTGTAGAGAAATTTCCGGAAGAAATCTTTTATCATATAAGCAAAAATCATCTTGCAGGATGTTTGGCGTTCTGGTGTTACTTGGGACGAGCCTATTCGAGAGCAAGAACCATAGAGTTAGTTTGTTTGGATGTGGCGAATATCTTTTATAAACAACATCAGAGTCCCTCGGTGCTACACACTCGCTAAGAGCAGCGAAGGTAATCAATTGCTTATTTTCGCAAACGCACGTATTTCAATTCCTAGACTGGAATTGATGTCGGCTGTTCTGGGCCTACGATGGGCAAAAATCATAAGAGAAGAACTTTCTATTCCGGTAAGCAGTAAAATTTTTTGGACGGACTCAAAAAACGTTATACACTGGGTACGTTCAGATGCCAGAAGATTCCATCAGCTCGTTGCGATACGTATCGGTGAAATTTTAAAAGGCTCTTGCGTTAAATATCGGAGGTGGGTCCTATCCTCTGAGAATGTTGCCGCTGAAGGAACGAAATGAAACGGGGAACCTAAATTTGATGACAACTCGCGCTGGCTCCATGTCCCAAAATTCCTAAGTAAGTCGGAGCGGCATCACATGTGCACATCAATTACAGCGCCATCGACGCTCTCAGCCGACTGCGCTCTACACAGAACTTTGTCTTAAGTTTTTTGCGCTTAGTCGCGAAGGTCACTCCACAAGCACTACTGAAATTTTTCGAATTACGCGATACAGATGCAGCAGAGCTCACTATTATAGCCGTTTGCCAGAAAGATACGTTTTGTGAAGGGATAACATACCTTAAACGCGGTCAAAACATTCCACAGCAATCGACAATCTTTAAATGGTCGCCACATCTGAACGAGTTTGGCATTCTTCGAATAAAGATAAGAATCGACTTCATAGAAGGTGTGGCTGTCATTGTGACGCGGCCAGTAATACTTCCGAAGAATCACCCAGTAACGCGGTTGGTAATTGACTTTTATCATAGAAAATTCCATCATCATCATCATAACGAAACAGTGAATGAGGTGCGACAACGATTCTGCGAAGCTGCGCTGCGCGTGTTAGTATGAGATTGTGCCGCAATCGTAAGGCAAAGCCACAACCGCCTTTAATGGGAAATCTTCCTTCAGTAGGGCTGTCACCATGTACACTGCCATTCACGTTCACGGGGGTAGACTATTTCGGACCCATCGACGTAGCTGTTGGTCGCCGCCGAGAGAAGCACTGGGGTGCATTGTTTACATGCCTCACCACTCGTGCAGCTCACATTAAGATCGCGTCATCGTTGTCTGCGGTCGTGTCAGACTATCGTGGCGCCAGCCGAGCACTTATCGAAAAGATTGAAAAGGTGCCGTCCGGCGACCTAAAGAAGAAATCCATTCCATCCATATCACGTACGATGCTACCCTACGCAAAGAAGTTTTGAGAATTAGCGATGGATCAGAGAATACCTTTCATGCTGGTTCCAGCCGCTGGTACAACCAATTGAAGTAAACAACGTCGTAATCATTGTTGACGATAATGCGAAGAGAAACTCATGGCCAAAGGGAGTAGTAATAGACCTTCATCGCGGAAAAAATGTACAGGCTCGTAGTGCTGTGGTGAGGACGATAAACGGCCTGTGTACTTGACCTATGGTTAGTTGGCGAAACTCGATATCGCGAGGCAAAATTGAGTTGGTAAACTTCATACGAAAAGGCGTAAGAAATTTACGAAGATGGGTTATGTTGCGAACAGTTGCGTCTGGCAACCCATCGCATTTTGTCATTTCCTCTTTGTTCTCAATTTTTCTTGCGTTAATTTGTATGTAATTTCTCTTTCATTATATTTTCTGGCTGTTCAAGAGCGCATAGGTGCCGCAGATAAAACAAAATGTATTATTTTGAGAAAGCTAAAATTTATAATTTTGATTATATTGAATAAAGATTTCAGTTCGTTGAAAAGGAGACTAGATTATTATTTCAATTGCGAGCCGCTATTTGCCGGAATAACAACTAAAATATTTAAACTAACATTCATTTATTAGGGATAATATAATTTTAAAGATTTTGCTTTAATATTTCTGCGTGAAGTTCTTAAAATATAACTGGCTCATATGTGATGTATACCTTTGTAACTCCACGACATAAATTT